CTACCTGCTTCTGCTATTTATCATCCGAGCCAACTTTTCTGAATTGCTTGCAGCGTCACCTGTGAAAGTCCCACGGATGTTAAGATAGTGCTTTGTTCTGTAGGCTTACTTCACGCCAGTGAGGCACAGCCCTCTCGTAAGCTTTGGTTCTTCCGGGTTGCTGACTTGAAGCAGCACATGCATTTTCCTGACGCCTGTAGTTCATCTTGGAAGCAGGTGTCCATAGAGAGCTGTACGGGGTAGTACCGACCTACTAACGTCAGCTCCCGAGTGCCCCCGTGCTCGCCTCCTGAGGGAGACAAGAGAAAGAAGCTGAGAACAATCCAACCCCAGGCTGCTATGATAAGATGTCACAGACAGAAGGGCTTAAGCAGCACAGATGTATTTTCTTATGGTTCTAGAGGCCAGAAGTCCAAGATCGAAATGCTGGCTTGGTATGAGCCTGTTTTTAGCGGCTAGCTTCTCTCTGTGTCCCCACAAGGCGAAGAGAAAGAGCTCTGGTCATTTCCTCTTGTTTTGTAAGGGCAACAGTTACTCCCATATTCACCCCACCCTTATATCGGCATTTAATCTAAATGACCTCCCTGGAAACGGGAGGGAGGTTGGTGGGAATGTAAACTGGTGCAGCCCCTCTGGAAAACAGTGCGGAGGTTCCTCAAAAAATTAACAAGAGAACTCCCCTAGGACCCAGCAATAGCACTGCTAGGAATTTACCCAAGGGATACAGGAGTGCTGATGCATAGGGGCACATGTACCCCCATGTTCATAGCAGCACTCTCAACAATAGCAAAAACATGGAAAGAGCCTAAGTGTCCATCAACGGATGAATGGATCAAGAAGATGTGGTTTATCTATACCATGGAATACTACATGGCAATGAGAAAGGATGAAGTCTGGCCAAGTGTAGCAACATGGATGGACCTTGAGGGTGTTATGCTGAGCGAAATAAGTCAGGCAGAGAAGGACAGATACCATATGTTTGCACGTATGGGAGGATTAGGAGGAACTTAACGGAGGACTACGGGGGAGAAGAAGGGGAAAAATAGTGGGGGAGAGAGAGGGAGGCAAACCATGAGAGACTCTTGAATGCTGAGAACAAACTGAGGACTGATGGGTGTGAGGGGGAAGGGGGGAGATGGACATGGAGGAGGGCACTTGTGGGGATGAGCACTGGGTGTTATATGGAAACCAACTTGACAATAAACTATTTGTAAAATAAATAAATAAATAAATGACCTCCCTGAAGGCCCCATGTCCAAATATGGTCACATTATGCATTAGGGCTTCGGCATATGGATTTGGGGCAGAGGTGAGGCCAGGGATGGGAGTGTGAGTCAACACAGTTGAGTCTATAACACTGCTCATGCATGGATTGTGCTTTTGTGTATTCTGGATGTAGAATTTGTTAGTACCACATTCTGCTAGAGAACAAACCCACTGGCATGTGACAGTATTTGTCCCTAGTTATTGTCTCTTTTTCTCATGTTGAAGATGCTTCCGTCTAAAATGCAGTTTAGATATTTGCAGATTAGCATCCAACTAGCTATAGAAAGACTTCTTACATAGTCGTTGTATAAAGAGAAAAAGAGGTGTTGTACAAAGGGTCAATAAATCTATAGGAAAATGTCCACTCTACTTGTTGCCAAAGAGAAACAAAATTAAAGGGATGCAATTTTGTATGAAATTGGTGACAGCAGGGAAGGACACCAAAGGCCAGTGTTGTTCACATTGTGGAGAGGGGACGTTCTCATGGGCGGATCTGTGGAACCAGCCTGGCAGCAGGAAAATTAGTTTTGGCTCTCCAGCGACTGAAACCTGTGCCGTTTCCTCATTCCATTAACACCACTTTATCTACTGAAAAGGTCACAGACATAAAAGTAGGGTAAAAGTTACAAATAAGAGATAATAAATTATGGTGCATTATGAATACTAAGTATCCATTACATTTTTAAACTGTGGAATATTTTTTGTTGCCATAAGAAATAGTTCATGCTATGTTGTTGAACAAAATTTTAAAAATTGAGAATATTAGTTCTCCATTATGTCACACCCATTACATAGAATGTGTTCAATCAGAAAAAAAAATTCAGAGAAGCCTAAACCAGCACCCCAAAGTAAATATACTTATCTCGGATGGCAGAATCACTGAGGATTGCTCTTCCTTTGTGTTTTTTTTTTTCCTTTCTTATTGTCTGTCTACATTTTCCACATTTCCTGGATTTAGCACAGATTATCTCCTCATTTTGGTGGATTAGTTGTAATTAAAACTAAAGTGCTTGGCAATTTACTGCCAAGTCAGAAAGCCTAAAGCTTTTTACACTTACTATTAGAGAGTCCACGGCTCAGTTCTGGTAGTCTTCATGTGGCCCCCCCTTCTCTTCTCTCGCTCTGGGCTAAGAGGATTGGGGGTGGAGGTTGGGCAGTCTTACACAAATGGATGGCCAGTGGGCAAATTAAATCTGGGTGTGAAAAATTTCAAGCCATGGAGATTATTTCAAGTCATTTCCATTCAGGCATAGAGGTTGCCTTGACTAGCAATAACTCTGGATGGTGGGCTAAGCCTTGACGCTTTCGCCTTTTTTTTTTTTTCCTGTCATTGCTATTCGGAGAAGGGGATGGGGGGAAGATAAACAGACTTAATTATTCCTTACTGTGTGTGGGTCAGAATTGTCCAGTGCCTTAGGGTATACCTTGATTCAATGCCTATTAAATCCCATATTTTATTATGACAGGTTACTCTCCTACTTTTAAGAGTAACATTTTATAGAAATTGGTGTGTAGACTAGCATCTATGAGGCAGCACCACAGGTAATGGGAAATAGGCCAACACATCACAGGACTCTAAAATAGGAATAAAGAGGGAGAAAACCCAGGTTCTAGGCCCGATTATATAAATAACTGGGACCTTCAACGATTTCTTTGTCAAAAAATACATTGGTAATAACGCTGGTCCAGAACCTAGATTCACATGGGCCTGATAAAATTTAGAAAACATGAGGGGAGCCTGGATGCCTTAGTCTGTTGAGCGTCTGACTTCGGCTCAGGTCATGATCTCACGGTTCCTGGGTTTGAGTCCCGCGTCGCGCTGTGCTGACAGCCAGCTCAGAGCCTGGAGCCTGCTTCTGAGTCTGTCTCCCTCTCTCTCTGCCCCTCCCTTGTTCACACTGTCTCTCTTTGTCTTTCAAAAATAAATAAATGTTCAATTTTTTTAAATTTAGAAAACATGAAAATTAAAATAATTTAAAATATATAAGACCCATCCTTTCTTATCTTGAGACCATCCTTAGGTAGAGTTCTCTTTAGAAGCCAGTGACATAGATACAGGCGGAGATGCAAGTTCAGGGAGAGGGGTGACTTTGCACATGAGAACTGCCATTTTCCTTTCTTCTTGCCCTCTGCCCTTACCCCCAGGCCCCCATCTCTCAAAGTTTTTCTTATTAGAAGTGCTTGGCTTTCAGGCTCTTTTACCTGGGCAGAGCATTTGTTGATCTGTTTATCTAAATCCTCATAATTATGAGGTTTGATCAAATAAGGTACTACATGTGGAAGCAAGTGGAATATAAAACTGTACTACTTTATTACTATCTTCCCAGCCCCACCACTATAATCATTTCAATCACTTTCATCTTGTTAGTATCCATCACCTAAACTACCTTGTGCTTTTTAATCGTGGTCACATTATGCCAGACTATATTTGACTTGATCTTTCCTCTTTGCTCAGATCTTGATTGCTAATATTATTTTCCCAAAACCTCCTATAAATTCTGTTTGTAACAGACTTATCTTTTCAATGCTATTATCATCATTGGTGTTATTATTTAAAAATTTGCTTAAAAAATGAAAACAAGTCATTTGGAATGTCCAACAAAAAAAAATAGATGACTACTTTTTCATACATTTTAAGGAACATTCTATAATAGGATCTGTTTCAGATAGCATAGCCCTAAATTAATAACTGCCAGCAAATATAGCTAATACCACTGTGCGAGGGTTCCTATGAAAATGATGTTGTTTACCGTAAAAGCCGGGTTGCTCAGATGTAGTACAACAGGAAATACTCTTAACATTCACGTAGTACTGGTTCCTGGAGGAGCGTGTAATATGATAATTGGAAGCAAGAAAACAACCTTTATTTACTCCTGGACTTTTATTTGAATAGCGGTTTTGTAGTGCCCTGGGAAAAATTGTCATTGGTTAATTATTATTTCCCCTGCTAATGAGTATTGCTAGATGATGTATACAACAAGTACTTTAGTCTTACTTGTTTATTTATTTGGGAATGATAATGGGAAAAAACAACGTTTGGGATGCTGTTTTTAACCTGCCCAACGGTGTCCATTTATGAATTGAGCTGATGTTATTTGAGTTTCTTCTTTCTTTTATAAACACAGAAAAAACGAACTGTGGCAAATGAGCCTTGGCAGCTTTAGAAAGCTTTTGTCTGCTGTCAGTCACAGACAGGGAACTTGGTAAATATTTGTGGAGTGGGCTAAGTATTTAGTATTCACAGTACGAATCTTCTTATATTAATTCATGAATTTCCTTAATCATCTCTAAATTATTGATCACTTATTTTTGTGATTTCCTTATAAAGAGGAATATCTATTAGATTTTCTTTTGAGATGGAAATATAGCAATACACAAGTAATAAAACTACATAAAACAGAAATAAAAGTAGATCAACTGGCTTTAAAAAAAAAAAGACTCAGTGCTTCTTCATTTCTTTAGTCCTTTTTGGCTTATTATTATTTCTTTTTTCACCTACTTCAAATACAAAATACAAAATTGTGAGTGTATCCTAGAATACACTTGGGGTGTATAAAGGAGAAATGATTCTGTTTACTTGTATTGTTTCCCGTTCTATAATGATGTCATGCGCCTTCTCTGTAGTTTATACTTTTCATTTTTCTGAAGGCCACTGCTTAAAGTTGCCTGATAGTTGTATCTGTTTGCCATGGCGACATCTCACTTTGCATTAAGCATGTCCCTCTGCATTGCAGGAGCTATGCCTGTCCCAGACCAGCCTTCGTCAACCTCAGAGAAGACCAGCTCCCTGAGCCCTGGCCTGACCACCTCCAATGGGGATGGCTCAGAAACGGAGACCACGTCTGCCATCCTTGCCTCAGTCAAAGAACAGGTAGACACATTCCACTTTTGTGACCTACTTACGGGAGCACTTTAGAGGTTGTTCTTTCAGATGAACGAGGATAACTCAGTTATGTTGAAAGAAACTTGTGATTTTCTAGCAGAATGTTGGTGTTTAGTATAAAAATATTAAAATGTGGTTATAATTGGCTTTGGAGAGTAGATTAATATGTTTTATGTTTTTATTCATAATTTAGGCAGTTTTTATTGAAAAAAATATTAGGAGGTAAAAAAAAAAACCCACTTTATAGTCAAAATTTCCTATATAGGTGACGTTTTGACAGATTTGGTGATGGACCTGACATTTAATACTGCCAAATGCCTGAGGCCAAATCATTGGTCTTTAGTAAATAAAAAGTCTAATCAACCATCAAAATAGACACATATGTCTAAAAAAGTAGCTTTTGTGACAGCAGATGAATTCTGTGTTGGATCAAGGTGAATTGGTCTCTCCAGTGTTTCTGAGAGAGATCTGGAAGAATGCACTTTAGAACTTTCTCTATAAAATAAATTAAAATTTGAACACTTCTTCCCCCAACAATGTTTTGCCTTAAAAATTGATAAGAAAATAAAGTCTGAAATCTTAGAATTAAAAAAATTTTTTTGTTTCAGAAAAGTCATGTTTCTTATGAATAAAGGGTGATAAATAATCAAAGAATGCTGGGAAATCAAGATTTTTTTCACTTCTTTTAGCATGTGCTAGAATATAAATCATATTTTTTAAAAGAAATTGAAAAAGCATCCTGTGTTTGGGTTATATGACTCCAGGATGCTGTATAAGCAGTAGTAGTGGTCAAGCTATCAATAGATTAGCTGCAGAAAGATCCATTGACAAAAGGAATCGATGATGCTCTCAGTCAAAGTGTGCCCTCAGGTCAGGAAGTGTATGGCTAAGTGGGTGCACAAGGCAGAGTTGAGTAGAGTAATTGGATAATCTGGTTTGTGAAAATGGTCTGTAAGCAGGAAATTGTGATGCAGGCTATATTCCTTGATGAGTTTGGTTCCAAAAGCCCACTCATGGGTGTGCTATTTTTTTTTTTTTAATTTTAAATTTTTTAAAATTTATTTCTGAGAGAGAGACTGTGTGAGCAGGGGAGGGTCAGAGAGAGAGGGAGATACAGAATCTGAAGCAGGCTCCAGCCTCTGAGCTAGCTGTCAGCATGGAGCCCTACACAGGGCTCGAACACACGAACTGTGAGATCATGACCTGAGGCAAAGTCGGACGCTTAACTGACTGAGTCACTCAGGCACCCTGTATGCTGACTATTTTTATGGACTAATAGAAGAAAGGAGCAGAGGTTCATGCCAGTTCCCATACTGAAGATAAGCTAGTGCTTTGTTGAAGTTGGTGTATGCCACGGTTTTATATTCAGGTATGATTGGGAAATGTTACTGGGCCAGGAACTTTAGAGTAGGGACAAAATATAAAACAGGAGGAATAAACTTAACAAGAAAATGATAAGACCTGTCTGATGTAAAGAATCACGTTTTATCAAAAGACATAAAGTAATTAGGAACAAATGGCAAGGCATGCTATGAGACTGTAGAGAAGAGCTTGATTGTCATAATAATTGTACTCTTTCCCAAATAAAGGTGTAAACTTTAGGCTGTGATACTAAGGATCTTATGGCTGATTGTCTCTTTGGCAAACTGGAACAAATTAGTGTAAAAATCACATGGGAAAGGATACATATGTGAAAGTAACAAGGAAAATTTTGGTAGAGAGATTTGACCTTACCAAACACTCGTTATGGTAGTGTCCAGTTGGTCCAAAAAAGGAGAGAACGTTCTCTCTGTAGGACATAACTGAGGGTTCAGAATCACAAGGACACATTCAACATAAAATCATAGAAAAAAAATAAGCCAGGAGAAATATGTGTCCCAAATACGATGAAGTGTTGATATATTAATGCTTCCTAATGCTGATGAGAAAAAAGGAAAAAGAAATAACAGAATAGAAAACTAGGCAAAAAATATGAACAATAGTTCACTGAAGAAACATGCAAAAGGCCAGGGAATAGAAGGAAATGTTTTTCACTCTACTGTACTAATCAGAGATATAAAATTCAGGATGGAAATGATTTCTTTAATCTACCAAATAGACATTTAAAAAATAGTATATATTATAATCTAGCTAAGGGTTAAGGTTTGAGGAAATTCACATTCTTTGTCACGCCATATGGAAATGTGTATTGCTGTAATCTCTGTTTAAAATGACATGTTGTTCTGATTTGGCATTTACAGTGTTCAATAGCCTTTGATTAGTCATGCTTAGACATAGGTAGTGTCCAAATGGGTGACCTAGAACACAAGATTTTATGTATATAGGTGTTTATGGCACAGTTTTCTGGGATAGAAAAAATATGGAACAATATTAATTGATGAAGACTTGTAAAGCAAGGTATATCTTTTATTTACTGTTTTATTTTTAAGAGAGGGAGAGATTGAGACTGAGAGAGTGTACACATATGTGTGTGAGTGGGAAAGGGGCAGAGAGAGAGGGATACACAGAATCTGAAGCAGGTGCTAATAGCTCAGAGCCCAATGCAGGGCTGGAACTCACCTACTGCAAGATCATGACCTGAGCCGAAGTCGGATGCTTAACTGACTGAGCCACCTAGGCTCCCTAAGGTGTATCTTTTATATAAAAGCTATATTCTCTTTATGCAGTTGTTAATAAAATGAGTTGGAGCTATAAGTTACATCTTTGAAAAATTCCTTGAGGACTTTAGAAAGGTACTGTCACAACATTATATTATGCTGTTTTTTAAAAAACAATAAATATTTTTGTTGTTTATGTCTATGAACATCTAGAAAAGTGTAGAAGGAAATAAATCAAATTATCAATATTGGTTACCCTGTGTGTTTCCAATTAGATGGAGGTGGCATATAAGGAATGGGAGAAAGAATTGGAAGATTGGACTAGATATTAGTTGGATAATAGGAGATGCTCTTTCAGCTGAGATAGCGATGTTTGTAGTCGAGAGAGTGGATAAGCTACTTAAAGCAAAAATACATTAGTGTAAATAAAATGGCCTCTCCAAATCCTTGATAAGGGTTGAATGAACACATACTGTGAAGAGTTTTTTCGAATAATTAAAAAAGTCCAGTGTTCATTTTGGGATGGCAAAGGCGAGAATTTTTGTGGCAGGAAGCTAATGTGAGCAGGCATAGAAGTCTGTTCTGGAAGCGGGGTGGAACAACTGGACGTCTCCATGTCTGAGGCTCATGCCTCGGGTCCTGTGGGCAGCTTGTGCCCCTATGGAGGCCAGATCAGCCAGCAGCAAGGTCCATGGACTTCCTTGGGGTGGCCTGATGCAAACAAACAATTTTTCCTTCACTGGAGAGTTTCATCTTTAGTTATTCTCAAGGTTTCCATCATTTCTTTTCCTGAGGTCTAGACTATTAGGTATGGAGCCAAAGCTAAGTTAAATATAGTTGAAAAAAAAATAGCTGAGTTGAAAGAAAACTGACTTTTGAAGTTAAATGTATTTATGATTTTTAATAATTATGTACGTAATGTATTTATAAATATGTTCGTTTGCCTATTGCTTGCCTGGCCCTCTTTAGGTGCTAATGGGAAGTAGATTTCTTGACCAAAAGTCCTATTTATTAAGTTAGAAAGTTTGAAAGAAGAAATTTTATGGCATCACTCTATGTGCTATCTAGCCTAGGGCTGTCTCTGTGGACATCAGTTCTGCAGGAGAGAAGTCATTCTTTATCACAGCAGGCATATATTCTGAGCTAACTGCCAAGTGATAGGTTGCATAATTTATTTACTCATTCATTAAATGTATTGAGCACTTTATATATGCAAAGTACAATCAAGATGAATCAAGTACATGTATAAAGAACACTCAGTTTGACAGTTTATTGGAATAAGTTATTACAGAGACTAATAATGTAAGTTTTTAGGCAGGCAGTTAACATTGCATAGAAATAAATTCTGGTTTATAACCATAGAATGAACTTACGTCATGCCAAGCCCTATGTCATGAAATGTGTCCACATGACATGTATGGCATGATGAAGATATTTGTAACCTGAGTCCTAGAGTCCTGGAACCCAGCAGCCATGGACTACTCCGTGAAAAGGTGTTCATTGATTTTTTTCTTTGTTCTAATTTCCCATCTTGATTGCTTTTAACTGGTGAATTTGACACTTTCATATTAACATAAATAGAACTATGATTTATGTTATACTCTGTGGGTAATTTTCTGTATTTCAGATGTGTCTGTCTCATTTTCAAGTTATCAAGTTTCTCTATGGGACATTAAGAGAGAGGTACCTATTTCCGATTTCCTCTCCTGTAAACACTTGTCCTTCACCAGAAGAGGAGAGGGGATGGAGGTCGAGTGTGTGATGACTTCAGGCACATGATTTGGATAAATAACTTAGAGAGGGTGATTGATAGCCATTCATTACATATAGCAGCCCAAAAGGGGGGGTGGCTTAAAGGTAAGAACAATGAAGGGGTTCATTTTTTAAGCATGCGAGATATCCCTATGATGATGGCAGTGACCCGTAGAAAAAGAAATTTATGAAGCTTGAAAGGGGGGGAATAACGTCAGAGAGAAAAGTCACTGGGTAGATGAGAGTGGATGGGAGCCAGTGCATCAATGAAGAGAATGGCTTTTGGAACAAAGTTCATCCATGAGAATGAGAATGAGGCAAAGTACATGGTCTCAGGTCACCTCGTGGCTTGGTGTTAGAAACTGTGGTATTTCTTCCCTTCTCATCAGATGGGCACAGTCAGGTCATTTGAGTTGGACCTGTTTGGAGTGAGCTGAGCTAAACAGAGGTGGGTATGGGAAGCAGTGGTGATGAGGGATGCAAGACAGCGGTTATCGTGATGGATCTCGGAATTGACATAGAATGGAAGCGGGGCGAAAAATTGTTAGTGACCATGCACTCGCAGTGAGTGTGCACAGATGGTGATAGCTTGAGAGCTGTGTGCTCAAAATCAAGAATTTGAAAGTAATGGCTGTTAAT